TACAAATATCCACACCCAAACCCACACCCGCACACACACCCGCGCGCACACACACACACACTTTAATATGTATACTTTTATTATTTATTATATATATATATATATATAGAAGCACGTACTGAGTACATCCTAATATATCGGTGAAATAAAGAAACGATCACAAAACCAAAACAGTACCTTGTGCCTGAGTAGTTAGGCCTGGGTCGGTGGTCAGCGTATTTTCCGCCGGCCCCTGAATGTGACTGTTTGGAGAAATATCCATCTGAAGAAACTAATTCTTAATACTTGCTTCTCGTTCATCATTGATTTAAACTCGATTTCTAATTTAACAATCCATGATTGCCTCTACTCACTAAGTGTTTTTTTTGTCTATTTTTGATGTGGGTTGCAAAGTAAGCGTTATTGTCGATGATATGGCTTGATAGCAGATACTCGTACAACCTGATGTGAGAGCTTAATTCAAAGTCTCCCGAAATCAGTTGAGCTGCAAGGTTAACAATTTGAAATCTATATTGCTAATTATGAGACAGGACACAACTGTTCGATATGGTATAGAGCTTAATATTCACAATTGTGTTGATCGCTATGTGTTAGTATACAGTTAACGCCGATATAGATTTATATACAGATATATTTTATATATATTGTATATATTATATATTATTATTATTTAGTAGTTTCGTCACTGGCACTGCCATATCACCCGTGTGTTTTCTTGATTCGAGTCTTCCTATGAAAATGTATATTTTTAGGGCACCAGCGACATCGACAAGCCACTGGCCAGCACTTTGACAAATATGGATTCCCACAGACCCACACCCATTTCTCGGCCAAAACAAACCCTAAAAGCCAAGGAGGACCTATAACTATAAATGTCTTGTTTTTAGGTCTCTTAGCTCACGGCTCATGGACAATGTCTGATATCTTGATTTTGCCAGGATACATCAAGCTATTCATCCATTGGTCAGTATTAAAATATACCAGCTTCAAAATTCTTTCTCAGTGGCTATTTAATTATAGTACATGTTAAAGCTTATTACTGATTGGCCTAAAGACCTGACAAAGACGCGACTTCATAGCAAACTAGTTTCCGACCCGTCGCGATATGTCTTCTTAGGAGAATAACATGACGTAAATCGGACTTCTGACTGTAATAAAAGACATAGCGTCCGGACGTGTCGTCATAGAGAAGTAGTTTCCGACGGACTCAACATGCCGTCACAGCGAAAAGTGCTGTCTTAAACCAGCCCGGCTGAAGACTGAAGTCCTGAACCCCTTCCAATTTATTATAAGCTTTGGCGCGTATTGTCAAACTGCACACACATCACACATGTATTACATAAGTAATCACGACTGGGATTTGAGAAGCCGCGGGGACTGAAAGCGAATAATCATCGGGACAATTTATTTATTCATATTCAGACTAAAAGTAGTAAAAGATGTCTCAACCAGTACACGCCCTTAGCCCTATCACCATGAAATACACACGTATACACACTCACATACACACACTCTTTTCTTCAATTTTCCATCTCTCGCTCGCACACACACACACTCTCTCTCATTCACATTCACACCCACACTCACCCACACTCACATTCACACCCACACTCACCCACACTCACATTCACATTCACATCCACACTCACACTCACACTCACATTCACACTCACGCTCACAATCCCTTTTACTTTCATGTTCACGTTCACGTTCACACTCACGGTCAACTTTGAGTGTGAGTGTGAGTGTGAGTGTGAATGTGCATGTGGGTGTGAGTGAGTGAGAGTGAGAGTGAGTGTGAGTGTGGGTGTGAATGTGGTTAAGTGTGTGTCTTTTGCCCCATTTTTAGACCCCGCTCTCTAGAGAGACGAGATACTAGTAGAGAAGGTATCTTATTCTTAAAACAAGACATTTGTAAAAATGAGCAGATAAATTACCCCCTCTATTCATACGCATTCAGTCCCAACGGCGTCCCAGCAGTGATTTGTTGAGTTGGCAAAAGCAGCCTTAACGCCTAACGGTCGCAGTCTTCAGACTTCAGCCTTCAGGTGAGGTGCCGTATATGAATTTAGAGAGTACATAGAGACATTCGAATTGTGATGACAGAGGAGAATTTTTTGTGAACAGTGACGATTTAGGTTTCTGAAACAGGATTGGAGATTGTTATCATTTATATATAGATACATTTCTTTGTTGCTATTCTTTTAATTCTTTGTATTTCTTTCTAGAAACAAATAATTTATAAGTGTGTCACTCCTGACTCAGTGACTGTGTGACTGTATGACAGTGTGAGTCTGTGAGACTGTGACTCCGTGACTGTGTGTTGGTTCTGAGTTCGTTAAATTCAAATCTTGGTTTTTTTGTTGTATTTATTAAAAAAAGAAAGAAAAAAAAAGAAAAAATATAAGGCTATGGAACTCAGAGAATTGTCTCGGATAGTCATAAATACAATGAAAGCAGGGCCAGGACAGGGAGGAGTCACGGCCCCACGCCCACGGGCCACGCCAACCACGTTACAACAGCCTGGCGCCTGCCCAGTGCCCACAGCCCCACACACACTCACAGGCACAGAGAGTCATCAGATGATCAGAGTCACTCTCACTGTCTCGCATACATTTCACAGACTGTCACGGACCACAGTAAATAAACTGTACACTGAATAACTCATAAATAACCCCTGTAACCACAGGGGCAGTGGGGCACAGGCGCACCGCCCAAACCAGTGAAACCTCGAACCTGAAACCACACTTCCAGTCTTCCACTTTCTCATTTTATTTATTATGAGTTTTTTTTGGAGGTGCTCTTTTTTATTTAGAACATAATTCAGCTATTTTTATAAAATACATGGAGCATTTTATTTATACTTGTTTGTTTGTTTGTTTTTTAAACTTATATAAAAATATATAGATATATAAATACAGCCGTACATATTCCAATTTCCAGGTAAAATTCACTCGAGTCTACACAATATTTACTGAATACACCGGGAATCCTGGATGAGAGAATTGCCGCTTTGCCAGTGTACACAACATATTTTCTTAAATACAATATAATGAAGCGTTTGAACGGAAACGTTAAGTACCGTCATTACCCGTATACCTACGTCATATATATATGTATATATATCAAAATAAATTCATAGGCAGAGTTATCCTAAGATCACGCCATATATATTTACATCAGGTAATGAATCTAAGCTGCAAGCATGTCTAAAACCTTGCCAGGCCTTACGCATCTTACGAATACGGCCGTTGCAGGATTTGATTTCGATTCAGAAACAAAGATTGATCGCCATCATTCCGACTCAGGTGAGAGACCCTCGCCTAATCTAGACAATATGTCAAATAAGCTTGGTAGGGACAGAGCTGGAAGCGCCAGCGCAATTCCGAAGACAATTAAGGAGAAAAGAGATTCTTTCTTCAAATATGCTAAATCGAGATGGAGAGAAAACAGTTTTTCTCTGAACAAGAGCAAGCAGGAGAACGATGACTGCACCAAGGGCCTCGACGTCCAAAAGTAAGTTTGCCTCTTGTTATATTGATATGTAGACCTTGGTATGCGAGTATGAGGGACGTAGTGCAGATTAATCTATTCACCACAGAAAAAGTGTACAGACAGTTGCAAGTGCTAC